ACCACTGGGATTACAATACTCGCTTGTAACCTTGGGAGATTAAATGAGCAAATGAATGTACAGTTCCTGGCCATAGCAGATGCTCAATAAACATCAGTTTCTTTGCCTCCCAGTGCAATCTGGACTGGGCCTCACCTTTGCAAATGTGCACACTAGAGGCTGGGGACAGAAAAGGCTCCCAGCAGCCAGTTCTTTCCTGTTCTCTGGGTCCTCAGGTGGCAGGTACTGAGTCCTATCACTAATCAGACTAGCTGGGCTTGTCCGTCTTCCTCAAGCTCCAGATTCAGCTTTCTCTCTCACCTCTTTTAAGAAAAACCTGAGCAGACAGGCTCAAAGAGACAGGTCATAAAGAAGAAGGAAATCAGGCATCTCTGTATAATTCCCAGGAGTATCTATTTTCCAGACACTGAAGCTTTTTTTTCTTAGTTATGTTCCCACATTTTTCTTTTCAAAAGTCTCTGGTCTTGAAAGCAGAATTTTCATGCCAGAGGCTTAGCAAATTTTCAGACCCCACGGGGTCTGCACCTGGAGCCACAACACCCAACCTGATCCTATTTACTCTGTGTGTTTATGCTCAAATGCACATAAGGTTTCCAGTGAGAGCTGAGTAGGAATAGGAGATTAGCACTTCCAGAGCACATTCTGGGTGCCAGATACTGGGCTTGTCTCTCTCATTTATATTAGCTCCTTTAAACCCTCCCTCCAACCCCAGGAAGTAGGCATCTTTATCCTTGTTTCAAAGATGAAGAAACTGAGACCAGATTAGATAAATGACCTGCTCAAATTAACACAGCAAAATATTTCTGAGCTCCAGGGATTATTCAATATCATACGGTCCAGTGATTCTCTAACTGCGGTCCCTGGACCAGCAGCATTGGCACCACCTTGTTAGAAAGGTATATCCTAGGACCCCACCCAGACCTGGGGATGAGCCCAACAATCTGTTTCCATAACCCTCTAAGTAACTGTAATGCATACCCATGTTTGAGATCCACTGTTCTTGTCTACCCTCAGATGTGACAGTTAAGAGAACAGACACTCAAAGAGATGATGCAATTTGCCTTGGTAACAGAATCCAGACTAAAGCCCGGGACAGTCACTTTCAGAAGTTGAATTTTCCTAACTGGGTACCTTACAATGTCCCTTTCATGAGGAGTAAAGACTAAAGTCCATAGTAAAACAGCACAAAACTATGCTATCTTCCGGCGATATTGGCTGGAATTTGAAAGTGCACAAAAATGAGGAGACCCTTCCCTCCATGCACTGCTATCTTTCCCTCGAGACTCTGCTGAACCACATGCTCTGAGACATGGAACCTCCACGTCATCACCGCTGCCCAGCCAAGAGGAGGACTAGAGGGGAGAGTGTCATGGAATGTATTCAGGATGGAGACGGCATTTACACACACCTCAGCCATCAACTTATAAGCCTTGGAGGAAAGAGGCCATGCCTCTCATTTTCTAGAATCCTTATTTCTAAATCTGTGTGCAAATTCTCACTTTCTGCTACACCCTCTCACATTATTGCTAACTGACATAAACAGACAGTGTTGACCACCAGTGGAAGTCATTTGGAAGGGGAGCTATTCTGAAGCCCCATTTGCATCGCAGGCATGCTTTTTTATGTGCGTTTATACGTGATATATTTACTTGGGGTGGGATTCCAGGGGCTGATAAAGACTAGGTAGGACCTAAAGTCTACCCAAGCTACCCCTTGTTTCTGCCATTGGTGACCACCAATTGACAAGCAATTGTCCTTATGAGTTTGTATTTGAATTTAATCAGAACTATGGGCACTACCTCTCTGGGCCAGTTTCTCTATTTCTTTTTTTTTTTTTTTTTTTTTTTTTTTTTTTTAATTTTTTTTTTTAACGTTTATTTATTTTTGGGACAGAGAGAGACAGAGCACGAATGGGGGAGGGGCAGAGAGAGAGGGAGACACAGAATCTGAAACAGGCTCCAGGCTCTGAGCAGTCAGCCCAGAGCCCGACGCGGGGCTCGAACTCACGGACCGCGAGATCGTGACCTGGCTGAAGTCGGACGCTTAACCGACTGCGCCACCCAGGTGCCCCAGTTTCTCTATTTCTAAAATGGGCATCATCTTTGGGTGGTTAGGCCCATGCCTGGCAACATAAGAATCCTATTGTTATTGTTGTTGTAACAGGGAGCCTAGGGGGAGTTTTAAACATACAAATTTCTGCAACTTTTTTGAAAAACACCTACCATTCATAAACGTATGAACACTTCCTACCTTATTTCTTTGCAAATAGAGACTGGAATTTACCTTTAGGGCAGACTGTCCCTTTAATCTAAAAGGAATTATGTGAATGGAAATATTATGCAAATACAAAACAAGCATACACTCTTTGTCCTGGGAGTGGCTTGTATGCAATCATCTCCACATACTTGCAAAGAACTAGAAACGATTTCTAGGGAAAGTGATATGAAGCATCTATCTGATCCCTCCCTTCTGAGGATCCACATCATTAGAATATGTATGAGACATTGTGGTAGTGCTGAAGCCAGGTGTCAGGAAAGAACAAAAGAAGCCAGCCAGAGGAGGTATCACAAGAAAGAGGAGATCTGGACTGGACACCAACTTAGAACTTCACTGAGATCAGAGAGTCTACACTTAGTGTGAGACCCCATTGCCCTGGCAGGTGGCAGGAGGTAGAGCAGGCAAAGGGCTAAGTCTTTAAGCCTGTCACTAAGCCTGGAGTCCCTGGGGACAGTCAGGGAACTGAGCCCCAAGACTAGACTTCCTAATAATTAGGCACATTGGGTTTACTGTCATTGCAGTTTGGATCTTATTTGATAATAAAAGCTGATGACCATATTTCATGGCCCAGGATTCCTAATGCCCTCCAACTGTGAACAAGGAGAAAGAGAAGGGAGTAACCAAAATTGCCAAATCTTCCCAGATTTCCCAGAGTTACTAATACTGGGAAGTAAGTCAGCAATTCTCAGGGTTTTTCACTCTAGTGAAATGGCCGGTGAGGGGGAGAACACGTAAGTGATATATTCCTATTGGCATTATTTAAAATCCAGCTACAACTCATCTCTTTCTTTGCAATCCAAAAAGCATACAGAAAATAAGTGGCATTATTACAAGGGTAACCTTGATTCTGCTCTAATTTATATCTTGATAAATAAACTGTTTCCACATGTTAATACTTGGCTTGTGATCACTTGTGTACAAAGAATCTCACAATGATGTGACTACCACAGCTAAGAACAATTGCATTAGAGAATATTTACCCTCTAACATTCCCACTGAAATCACTTATCTTCTTCAGAAGAAAGGATGGTGCCAGAATAACACACGGTTGTATTAAGGAGACAAATAAATGAATAACCAATGCCAATGGATTTCTAGCTTCAATTGCTGAAGGGTTGGCATATTTACACCTGCTGTGTTTTTCTTACTGCACCAAGTGTTACAAGGAACTAAAAATAGAGCCCGACCTTAACAAACATAATTGAATTTTTTTTCTGAAACCCAGACATTGATGCATAATACAACTAGCAGATCAAATGAAGTTCATGGTCATCAATACATTTTCTCTATTGAGGAGCATTGAATGCAAAGAGAAGAGATGATGGTAATAGAGTTGGCAAGCAAATGAGATGTTCTTTTCATGAGAGTGCCTCTTTAGCTGTTCCCTGAAGAGGACAATGAACCTGATCTGGGCTAGAAGGAGTAGCTACAAGAAGACTGCATGTGAGGAGTGACTCCACCAGAGACGCTCCAAAATGAGAACACACAGCCCAAGAAAGCCATTCGCCCTCCCCTCCCCCACCAGTCATGTGCAGAGAATTGCAGGTTCATGGAAGTTATTTCTCTCTACCTGAGTGGGTTTTATTTTATGTAAAACCTCACAATGCAGTCACCAAACCCTTAGTAGGAATAAGAAAAGCATTTGCTTTGCAATTCTTGTCCCGCCACTGCATCAGTCACACTACATAAAGAAATCCAAACCCCTATTCATCACTGCTTTTCAGAGCTCATCTATAATTCAGTCGACACTAAGAACCTTCACACAATGAAACGGCTTTTACTGAGCGATTACACACATCACCTGGATGCAAAAAAGAGTACGTTTTTCATGGATGCCAAGAGTTGTCTAAGTGGTTTATGGGAGAAGAAAAGCAAGGTTTGTATGTCCTACTGGCCATGTGGAGAGCAGGAAAGCCTTATATAACGGAAAGAAAAGTGAAAGAAGTAAAATTAGGGTAACAGGGAGAAAGGAGGGGAGGACGGCAGGATGGCAAAAAAAAAAATTAAACCTTAATTTCTGAAAACAGCACTGCTGTATATTTCAAAAGTGAGTTTGAAAGACCCATTCGGGGGGAGGAAATCACTTTTATACACCATGTCCCGTACTCAGATTGATTTTTATGTGACACAGAGGAAAGGTAAGTGCTAGAGTCGTGACGAAGTGGAGCCCAAGAGAAGAAGAAAACACGAGAGGCCTCTGCAGAAGACTCGAGACCAAATGATGAACAAGAACAGAGTCAGCAGCCACCTGGGAAAACACACAAGGAAGATCTTTGCTTCCTTTCAGGAGGCAGCAGCTCTCACATCTCTTATCACTTAGAAACCCTCCCCCAGCCAGAGACTCTAAAGACACGGGGCTGAATTCATTCCCACCACATGCTTTTTCTCTGTGCACTTATCTCCATGCGTCATCCTCTTTTGAAGCAAAAGACTCATTAATCCAATTCAAATTGCCAACATCAGTAAATCCTTTGCCTCAGCATTTAAATGCCAATACCAATTAAATACCAACAGCAACTTAACTACTGATGGGATCTGTGCTACATTCAGGAAATCCAGCCAGAAGTCCAGCTAGCATTAATTCCAACACTCCTTCATCAATTCTAATTTACTCAGTGCAAAAAAATGAGGTAATTTTCTGGCCACGCCAACGATGCATCCAACTGGATTGAAATAACTCGGCAGCAAATAAGAAGGAACAGATTGATTGCAATCCACCAAACCTGAAGGATGTCTTCACCAAGGCTTCTGGGCTGTCGAGCTGAGGCAATTCATCAGCTAAGATTTCTTCTGGTGGTCGGGGGTCATGGACGATAGTTGGCCGTGGCTTTTCCTTGGCATTCCCCGTGAGCCCGTCAATGAGGGAGTTCCACAGACAGTTCTGCGACTTAGACCCTGAGGTGTGAGGGGGGAAAAGTGTGCAGTCAATTACAAACCAACAGCGTGCCCTGCCTTACCCAACTCAGGATTTTCAGAAGCAAAGCAGGGAAACTTCCCTATTTCTCATGATCTCCTACATTCAGAGGGTTCCAAGAGATATTGGTCAGGCAACTTAGGGAGTAACCAGGACTTTTTAAATTTATATGCAGAAAATAGGCTAATACCCTGAATATTTTGACCCACAGCTAAATATTAAGGATATATATCTTGTCTCATTTCAGTGGTGATCAACTCCAACTCCTAATAGAGCTGTAGGTATTTACTTATATATTTATTCAGCAATTGGAAGTATACAAAGGACTACCATTCTAGAGAAGAGTAGGATGTTAAGAAACAAGTCTCCCTTATGAACTCAGCTTGCCTAAAGCCCAAGTTTCAAGACTCCATTCTGTGGAGACATCCACCCCACATAGGACCCCACCTTTAGAAACCAGAACTCTAGGCAGGTTTGTCTTCTAGAAGATCAAGACCCAAGAAAAACTATACTGCGTGTTTACTGATACTCTACCCGACAAACACTTCAGTCATATGAGATGAATGTTAAAGGCAAACATGAAGTGGAAAGAAGTGTCACAAAATAGGGCAACCAAGGTCAGTATCAACAGGGATAAATTACATAGATATTACGTACAATTGATATGATGTGATGAAAATGGCACTTTAACTCTAGGTGTCTTCTTTCCCAAAACACATAGCCCCAGTGTATTAAGCATGTTTCTAGCTTCTATAAACTTGATGCTTTAACATCTGCCCTACATCCATACATTCTTTGTTCAGGACAACTCAGTAATGTATCTGAGTCACCTTGTCTTAGCTTCCTGCCTCCTCAGCTCCCACCTCCTCCCTCGCCTCAACTCTTCAGAAGGAGTCCTTCTTCCAGGGGCATGCTTTTCAAATACAAACCAAACAAATCAGAGCCCATACCCCCAACTCCCTCACTGAGCTTTTGCACTCTAGACCACTATTCACTTGCCCAACTCACCCCAGCCCAGGTACCAGAAAACTAGGGACAGCCCCTATGCCCCAGAGCCCACTGAAACTATTCAAACTAGCCAATCCTAGGCCTGCTTACCCTGCCTTGCCCATGACTCCCTACAGAAACCACAATAAAGACTCTTGCTCACATTTTCCTCCACCCTAGCTCTACCTTATAACTGGCCCCAATGCTTCTCAGCATGGCCTCCATGGTGCAACATGGACCCCCTCTTCGGAGACCTGCAGGTATTAAAAAACTATCTTTTCAATGGCAGTCATCATCAGATTTGCTGGCCCTACCATGCCTAAATAACAATAAAAACCTATCCAAGTACCCAGTCTAGTCATGGGGAAAACATCAGACAAATCCCAAGTGAAGGACATTCTGCAAACACCTGACCAATACTCCTCTAAACTATCAAGGTTATCAAAGAACAATGAAAGTCTGAGAAACCATCACGGTCAGGAGGAGACTAAGAAGACATGATGACTAAACACAATGTGGTGACCTGATGGGATCATGAAACTTAAAAGGACATTAGGTAAAAACTAAGGAAATCTGAATGATGTACTTTAGTCAATAATAATTCATCACTATTATTTCATTAATTGTGACAAATGTACAATATTAATGTGAGATTAATAATAGGGGAAAACTGGCATGGGGTATACAGGAACTCCTAGTACTATCTTTGCAAATTTTCTATAAATCTAAAGCTGTTCTAAAATAAAGTTATTATAAAAATACAAATAAATAAAATACTATAAATAAATAGCTATTATAAAAGAAGTCTATGAGCAAAAATAATTTTTTAAGCGGAGCCCGATGGTATTACCATTACTATTACCCAATTACCACTGGCTTATGCCAGTTATGCTCTTCCCACAGGAAAGAAAGTTTTTATCTTTGCACAAAGATACTACTGGGTTTCCAAGTCATGCACCCATAGAGCTGTGTCCATCCAGAAGGGGTTGGCTTTTTCTACCCAATCCATGCAGATGGAGTATCTTTATCTAATTCACACAAAGACTCTTTATGGGGCCTAAGGGGATGCACGTGGAGAGGTAAAAAGCACTGCCAGCTAATGCACATTCATGTGATAGGTGGGCAGAGAGTATGTCTGTATGCACATGGGGATGTCTCCCCAAGACTCTAACCAGCTACCTGAAGCCCACAACAGAAGAAATCACCTGAAGGACAGCTTTGCCACTAAGACCAAAAGAACTTCACACAAAGGAGAGCATCTCAACAAAGATCCCTGAACCTTTACCAAGGACACAAATGGGTCAGCACAGAACTCTTCCAACAACCACAGCTATGACTGACCCCCTTAGAATGTCCCACATCCAAATTACTTTTGTATGAATCAAGAGAAAACTAAAGCACACTAGTGCCAAGAAACATATGCCTCCAACTCTCAAAATGCAGGACAGCTTTTCTGAAGTCCTAACCAAATATCTTAACAAGATCCAGCCCTATTAATGAAGGTCTGGTTCTATGTTAATAAAGGTCTGTTCTATGTTAACTAAGGTCTGGTTCTAAGAGGAAGAACAACAGCAACAGCCTGTTTTCTTAAATTTGATCTAAATGAAGGCTTTACAATAAACTCCTAGCCCATTTCCCTTCAATCTTTTATTTATTCATTCAGTATACACATGTTTCATTCCCTCACTATGTCAGGTTCCATTCTGGGCCCTAGAAATAGAAAGATGAACCCAGAAGCAATCACAATAAATGGGCAATGCACCATAACTAAGGGCAGATGAATACTCTAGGAGGCAGAGAAGGGCTCACCCACTCTGCTTCAGAGCCCTGGGGAAATCTACACAGAGAACATCACATCTGATATGGTTCTAAAGCAGGAACAGACCTTCAGCAGATGAGAAACAGAGAAAAGAACATTCAGGGCAAGCAATATGTGCAGAGGTTCAGAAGATAACAAGGTAGCTTGTGAACGCTGGAGCAAAGTGAGAGGCGATAAGGTCAAAGGCTGGTGGGACAAGTTGTAAAGTGCCTTGAATAAAATGTTAGTCATCTAGAATGTCTTTTTTTTTTTAATTGCCCATAATTTTATTAGCCAAAGAAAATCACAGATGACATTTAATAGAATGTCTTCTTTAGACCAAAACACAAACAAAAAAACAAAAACAAAAACAAACAAACAAAAAAACTAAGGCCATATCTATGTTTGAGAAAGGAGACCGGAACACTATGGAGTGGTGAACTTGTGAAGAATAGCATGGTCACGTGAAAAGGTCGGTGAATCCATATCATCTGTAGATGAAATAAAGTCTTACATGGACTTATGACTAATTCTTAAGTATATAGAGATGAGATTAATAAACTACAAACTAGGGGCGCCTGGGTGGCGCAGTCGGTTAAGCGTCCGACTTCAGCCAGGTCACAATCTCGTGGTCCGTGAGTTCGAGCCCCGCATCAGGCTCTGGGCTGATGGCTCAGAGCCTGGAGCCTGTTTCCGATTCTGTGTCTCCCTCTCTCTCTGCCCCTCCCCCGTTCATGCTCTGTCTCTCTCTGTCCCAAAAATAAATAAACGTTGAAAAAAAAAAAAAATAAATAAATAAATAAATAAATAAATAAATAAATAAATTACAAACTCATGTAAAGCACTAATGAATTTATAATAGGGTTTTCACCATTTTCTCAGTGAGTGAATCAGAAGGGTCAGGTGACCTAAGCTCTCTCTCCATTAGGGGAGACTGTTATTGATCTCCGCTTTAATTCCACTGTGGTCTGAGAACAGACATTGCATGATTTCTAGTCTTTTTAATTTTTGTTAAGATGTGTTTTATGGTCCAGAATGTAGTCCAATTTGGTGAATGCTCCGTGTGAGTTTGAGAAAAATGTGTATTCTGATATTGTTGGATGAAGCAATCTACAGATGTTGATTACATCCAGTTGATTGACGGTAAAGTCTTTTTTCCTTTTCAAATAAATTTTATTTCATTCATTAAAACAACATCTATATACATAAAGAGTATTATATGCATACAAGAGTTAGTATATGTTCAGGATACAGATCATTCCCAGGCCCCTTGCAATAACTTTATGGTACATTCCCTCTCACTACCCAATCCCAGAGATGAGGAAATCCTTCTAAAGATTTATGATGATACTTTGGAAAAAATATTTCCAGATATTTTTCCACATTAGCACCTAAACAACTATCCATTCATAAGGATCATTACTATTAAAATTGATTTGTGATAAAAACTTTAGAGAGTAAAAAAAAAAAAAACTTATAGCAACTTTTTGATTAAAAAAACTTTGTGTTTATTTCTGAGGGGAGGTTTCAGATTTTTATTAGATCTTCACCGGGTCCATAATGCAATACAAAAAGATATGTACCAGGGCACCTGGGTGGCTCAGTCGGTTAAGCGGCCGACTTCAGCTCAGGTCATGATCTCGCGGTCTGTGAGTTCGAGCCCCACATCAGGCTCTGTGCTGACAGCTCAGAGCCTGGAGCCTGTTTCAGATACTGTGTCTCCCTCTCTCTCTGACCCTCCCCCTGTTCATGGTCTGTCTCTCTCTGTCTCAAAAATAAATAAATGTTTAAAAAAAATTTTTTTTTAACAAATAGATATATACCTCTGATTCTGAGACAGATTTTCCATTCCACTAGATTGATGCTGTAGTGAATTCAACTATGTTCTTGCTGATTTTCTGCCTGCTAAATCCATCCATTTATGAGAAGGGTGTTAAAGTCTCCACCTGTGATAGTGAATTCATTCTATTTCTTTTTGAAGTTCTATTAGTTTTTGCCTCACATAGTTTGACACTCTGTCGTGTTAGGCACATACACATTAAGGACTGCTAGGTCTTCTTGGAGAACTGACCCCTATTTCATTATGCAATTCCCTATTATACTTGATAATTTTCCTTGTTAGAAGTCTGCTCTGTTTGATGTTACTGTAACTATTCCTACCTTCTATGGATTAGTACTAGTATGGTGTATTCTTCT